AAAAAAAAAAAAAATAATATGGGCTTGCCCTAACGACTCACTACTAATGAACACAATGCAGCAGAAGTGACATTGTGTGAATTCCAAGCCTAACTTCAAAAAGGTGTTATACTCAATTGGTTCTGAGTCCCCTTGGGCTAGTCTTGCTCTTAGAACTGAAGTACCATGTAATGAGGAAGCCCAGGCCACATGGAGGTGTCTGGCTGACAGCTACAGCTAAGATCTAAGACCATGGCCAACATCAACCAGAGACATGTGAATGAGGTGGATTTCCAATGATTCAATCCCTCAGCCATCTGGCTGATGCCCCAGAAATCATGGGCAGAGGCCATTCTGTCCCTGCTATGCCTGGTTCAAATGCCTAATCTGAAGAATCCATGAATATAGTAAGTGGTTGATCTTCTGGCACTGAGTTGTGGGGTAATTTGTTACACAGCCATAGAATCTGGAACAGGCAGAGAAAATGTAAATATTTCTGTGAGAAGTTTTGAAGGAGTTTGGGTAGAGTACTGAAATCTGTGACAGTGCTAATGATATTTTTTGACCAAGAGATTGTGAATACCATTTCTGTCTCAGGTAATTGGATAGACTCATGGGATAGTGTGATTCAGGGGAAAGAACACTGGCTATGGAGTCACAAGACCTGGGTTCAAATTCCAGCTTGACCACAAGTCTCTGAATGTCTTATAAGTTTTTTTTTTTATCAGTAATATACACATAATTAAAACTATGTGACAAGGTTGTTTTTGAGGACTGAAGATGACAAGATATGCAAGAGTATCTGAGACACAGATACTATGTATAGAATCTCAGTGAGTCTACTTTCTCCATCAAAGTGTGTGTCTACTTCACAAAAACCAATGCTATTTTACCCAATTATTGCTCAAGTGAACAGTTCTCTTTGCTAATAGGGGAGTGGCTTGGACTTTTTCTCTGATATAGGACTTTTTCTGAGTTAGGAAACCTTTTGTGACTCCATTAATGATCTTAAAGAACATTTTCATCAATTTAGGTTTCCAATACTAAGTAGATGGCCTGTGCAGGTAATGTCTTAAAGAGAATTTATAGTTCTCCTTTTAGGGTGTCATTATTATTAAATAATGTGGCATTCTCCATTATAGAAACCATCTTGACTGTTGGAAGCATTGTCAAAACCATATTTGGTGAACCAGGAATGAAATGTATCCTTATTAAGTTATTCAACAATTTTGAAGTTTGCATTTGGAACTATTCACAGAGTTCTTTTTAAGCTATTAATTTCACATGAGGCAAGAAGACATGTCTAGACAAATGTTCCTCAAAGGAAGTATTTTAAAATAAAGGCTTTTCTAACATGGCTATATACTCTTGTGCCCGAACGTTTTACTTTGAACTCACTGTGATATTTGCTTTCTTGAAAGCAAGCTAATGTTCTGTGAATTAACCAGACTTCAGAGAGTTCTGATTTTTATGACAAATTTTCAGGAGTATAAAAAAACTTAGTTTTGTTAACAGAAAGCCTTTTGACAGAATATTTTTATGAAGACTTTTTTTTAAATTTAATGGGATTTATGGGCCTATGGACATAAAAAGTAATGGGGAGACCATACTCTAGTCTTAGAAGAGTCCAATATGAATACAGTGAAAATTAAAAATAAGAACCTTTGTGATTTGTAGTGGCATATCATTTGGTTATTGGTGAAATGACCTGCCAAGACCATGGAATTTTAAAATCTTTCTTGGCTTCCATACATTACTGACTTTCTCCATAAACTTTGTTTGGCTAACAATTCAAATTGTTGATGATATAAAGAAATTAATTCAGCTGAACTCAAGATTGTAATAAAACTGATGTCTGACTAATTCTTCTCACCTTGTAAGGAGCTTTCCAGACAAAAGCACTGGAGTCAGATTCTGGGTTATCTCCTACCTAATAATGTCTCTCTTCTCTAGCACTATCTCTAGAGAAGTGCCTTCATAAGTCACTTCCATACAAATCCTCATACCATAGTCTGAAAGGTGACCCAAGAAGATTCCCCACTGCTGTCATCCCACAGGGAGATGAATGAAAGCCATATATAGGAATTGTGGACCTATGAAGATTTTTGACTTTCTTATGATTCTGCTAACTCATACATTTATGCAACAAATATTTACTGAGTGCTTACTGTGTATAATTCTAAGCACTGAGAATATAGCAGTGAACAAAAACAGGTAAAGATCCCAGCCTTTTAAGGTACATATTACAGGGTGGGGAGACAGATGATAAGCAAACAAAAAAAATGTATATAATGTCTGATAGTGTTAAAATAGCACAGATAAATATGAGACATGAAAGTGAGTGTGGAGCATAGGAATTACTATTTCACATGGGATGATATGGGACAGCCTCACCTGTAAGGTAATGCTTGAGCAGAGACCTGAAGGGGATGGGAAAACAAGCCATTCAGATACCTGGGGAAGAGCAGTCCAAGTAAAGACAGCATTAAATGCAAAACCTCTGAGGTGAGAGTTAGATTGACAAATACAAGGAATGCCAAAAAGGACAGTGTGGCTGGAGCAGAGGGACAAGAGGGAGATCACAGACATGTGGACTCGATCTCACAGTTGAATTCATACAGTGAGCATGAGAATTAAGGGAGTCTTTGAAGAGAAAGCAAATAAGATATCAAGAATAGAATTTATGGAAATGCCTCTGTTTAGAAGGTAGAAAAGACAAGGAGGTAGTAAAGGATATTAAAAGAAGATGGCAAGGGGACCCCAGAAGAAAACAGTGCCGCAGAGCCTTGGAAAGAGAAATTAATAAAAGAGACTGTTCAACAGTATTAACTGAATGTCAACTGCTTCACATTCTGCACGAAAACAAGGACTAAGTAAAAGTAACAAGTAAAGACTATATAAAAGCCTTTCGATTTGATAATCCGAGGTTGCAAGAGATCTGTAATAGTTTTCCCTGAGTGGTAGGAGTGGATGTCAATTTGGAAAGTAAGAAAAGTGAGTGGTAAAGAAAAGCAGATAGCATATGTCTGACTGCCTTCTCTGTCTCCTTCCTCTTCTTCTTTTTTTTTTGTTGGGGGGAATTAATTTAGTCACAAATAGAAAAAGGGAGATAGGATGATACTTTAAGAACACAGGAAGTATTTGCAAGAATAGCTACTGGCTTTCCCTCTTTGTGAATATGTGGCCAGTGAAACCACTGAAGAATTCAAAATCAACCTGATACTTACAATCTGTTTAATCTAGGGAATATACAGTAGCATACAGTGACTTATGCTAAAAGGCTTATTGGGATGAGACACAATCTCTCCTTCAGTTGGCTCTCTAGATTAAAATTATTTTTTGCTAGGGTTATTTATCCACACCCCACCCCTCACACCATTGCTAACTTGACAGAAAGATTTAGCTATTATAGTTCTTCTTGGCACACTTATTAAGACAATGGAAGTAGCATTTCTAAGCAGTTTTTATTAAAATAGATCAATGATAATGGATTTGGGTGAAAGGGATTAGCCAAATCTTTTTGGTTACAAAGATACTTTCTAGGTCTTTTTAAAAATTTTGTAATTGCTTAAAAAAAATTGGCAGATGTATGCTAAGCTAATTGGCAGGCACTGTAATCTTGTGCTTTGTACAATTCCTAGGGCAATGTTGACATTTAAGAAATGTTACATATTAATATTAATACTTTCCATGTTGCCTTCATTACATTTTTATACCTTAATTAAATGATTACACTGGAAGCAAACCAGATGATCAGATGATTATAAAATGTCTCACCCCCAAAAGTCAAAGATCAATGTGTTAAAATCCAATGCCACTCTTCATAATCGACCAAAGAAAGCACATTTATGGCATTACATATAAGGTGTGATTTGCTTTTCTCTCCTTAAACTAGGGAACAAAATGAACATCAAATGATGTTTTTGGCTGGTTGGTCTTCCCATGATGTGCTATTAGAATATCTTTGGGTCAGCTATATTTTGCCTTCATATAAATAGTAAGAAGCTAAGCTCAAAACCCTAACTAAAAAAAAAAAAAAAGAAATTTTATAGAAGAAATTAGGATCCAGCTCACTAGTGCTACAGCTTTCTTAGGCAGTGCCCCATCATAACCTAGATCACAAAGCAGAGTAAAGGGAAGATTGACACCAAATCATGCTAGTAAAGTTCTTAGAGGGGAATTCCAAGAATTATCTAGTATCTCTTACCAATTAGGAAGGGAGTCCAGTGAAGCTTCTGTACTAGAAAGATTTGTTTAGAGAAAGGTAAACCTTTCCATTCCAAATCATCTAAATCAATGCCAAATGTGAGGAAAGATGAGGGTGAACAGGGGAAAGATTACACAAAACATATATTATAAAGTCTAGAGGAAGACCCAAGCCCCAATACTAATCTTAAAACATCTTAAAACACCATTTAAAACATTCTTTTAATTGAATTTTCCAACTCTTTTAGAAAAAATGATGTGACTTGCATTGGCTTGCATTTTGCTTTGTGGTTCATCAGTTAAAGCATTAATGGTGTTTTATTTTTAAAAACCTGTGGTTTTCAAATACATTTGTATTACAGTATGTCAAGCTTGGTGTTCTTAAACTTACTTAGAACGATCATCTAAAATGCAGGTGTTTTCCCATTATATAGGGATGAAACAAGATCTTTTTGATCTAACAAAATTTTACTATAAAATTTATTACACTTTTACTGTGAATGGATTAACGATGCAATATTTGATTGACAACAGCAAATCAGGAGTAGCTGATTAATAGTGGGGGAAAACCAGGAGAAATTTGTTATATGAATGCAAAAATCTTTGTACATCAGAGATGTCTGTTTACCATTGTGAAGAATGAATGGGACTTCACAGAGGTATTTGGGTGGGGATGGGAAATAGTGGCATTAAGTTGTTCTTTCAACAGGCTCTTGCCTTATGCAGGGGCCATGCCAATCTCCGTATCATTCCAATTTTAGTATATGTGCTGCTGAAGCAAGTGCTAGCCTCTTCTTTCTTTCAGGTAAGATATACCAGAAACCATTGACTGAAGAATTATTTTAGATTTCTGATACATTCAAATTCTAAGTATTGATTGATAGGTGTGCTTTGGAAACTTCAGACTCCTTTCTTCCTATTTCAATATTCCCTACTCCATGTAACACCTCCAAATTAACAATATTTGATGACAATCAGTATTACTTTTTAGAACTAAAGGATTTCTGTTCTTTAAATTAGCTTTAAGAATCAGGAATAAATGTACCTTTTTCCTTTCCAAAGTTAACTTAGTTTTGCTAGAAGATGCTCATATATACTTAGGGTTGATACTGATTAGGATGGAGATCTGTTGTGGCAATGGTGAAATATATTCAGCACAATTTTATACCCAGTCACATTATTCTGTTAAGCAGAATTTTAATACAATAAATAATCCATATTAGAAGAAAGCTAGCCAGTCCCTCTATAGGAAACCAGCATGTTTCCTTACGGGTATTAAGAGAAGAAGGAAGCTGTCATGCACATACCACTATTTTTGTGCTCTGCCTCCTAAATAGATTTACATGGCTTTTGTCTTTGTTGGTGTTGTGGGAGTTGTGATGATTAATTAGGATGCGAAATTTGTTGAGACTGATTTCCTTTTAATAGGGGGATAAAATAATTTAAGCCTATTTATAGTTCCTAGAATATTTATATCATGGTCTACATGACTATAAATTTATTGGAGAAAGTCTCTTGTATTTCATCACTCTTTAAAAAATATTTTCTGTGTCTTAAAAGACCATTTTCAGAAATATTCCTTATCCTTATTTAATGTTTTCCCCCAAGTTACTTTAGAACATGTCATGGAGTCAGTTCTGTGGAGATGTTAGCTGCAAGTGAGGTCTGGGGCAGTGTGGTTAGACACATAGCCAATTGGTACTTAAAAGAATGACACCTTTTTAATTAACTGGTTTCTACCTCAAATTATTACTAAACATAGGTTGCTAAGGCAAAAAACAATCAGGGAAGAAACTATAGTGGACAACAGTTGCCATGAGGTCAGAAAATCTTTCGTTCTCAAAGTTGTCATTTATAAGTACTGTGGACAACACATGTTCTTCTGATCAATTACTTCCCAAAGGAAAGTCTACATATTTAGGCTCCCAATTCCAGACATTCTTTCTTCAACATCTTCTGAAGTTGATTCTGGTACCAAACCAAAAAAGATTGTGGGTTCAAACTACTAGGAAGTAATTAGGCGTTGATGGACTGTACCGTCTGCTGGCATTATGGAGGATGAGGGCCTTGGAGCTGAGATCTTCGTTCCCAAATTCAGTATGGCAGACCACCCACAAGATCAGTCTTCTGACAACCCTCAGGAAAATGCCTACTACCAGGGACCATGAGCCAAGGAACAAACTAAGCTAAGCACAGTTTCCTTTAATATAAAATCTCTTTCTAAACACTAAACACACACTCACATATACACACACACAAAGACACACGCAAAGGCAGATATGCATGTACACACACACATAGATCCATATGGATGTGCAATTCATAATTCATCTGATATCCTATCTTTAATCGCCTCCCAAATATGGCCAACCTAATACAATGCAAGCTATTTATAACACTGGTTTCAGAAAACAGGTTGCATGCTAGTATCATGGAGAGTGATTCACTATGCTCAGAGAGGATGCCAGCTTGAGTAAGAAAACACTGTTTCTTTTCAAGAAGCTTAGAGTTTAGCATGTACCAAAGAGGAAATTTTTTCATGCACTGATGAAGATAATATGTATACACTCCAAAGTAAAATTAAAATAATCACTTAAAGGAAGTATAAGGTGTTAAAAGTGCTCAAAGGTGAGTGAGATATACCTATTTGGCTTTGTCATCCTTATGAATACAGCATACCTAATTTAACTGTGAAGTATAGCAAGGCACTTAAAATGCAATCTTATTAAACTAATATACTTGTTTTCTTTTTTTTTAAATTTCTTTTTTATTTTTATTTTTGGGACAGAGAGAGACAGAGCATGAACGGGCGAGGGGCAGAGAGAGAGGGAGACACAGAATCGGAAACAGGCTCCAGGCTCTGAGCCATCAGCCCAGAGCCCGACGGGGGGCTCGAACTCACGGACCGCGAGATCGTGACCTGGCTGAAGTCGGACGCTTAACCGACTGTGCCACCCAGGCGCCCCTTTGTTTTCTATATGTATATAATGCCATTCATAAAATACTTTTATTAATAGATATTATCATTACTATAACAAACTCTATCCATATATTGAATGTTCTATTGTATATTAGGCATTTTATTTTTTATTAGATGCTCAAATATTTTTGAATTAATGAATTAAATGCTGGAAATGGAATATCAACCAAAGAACTGGCTTGATTCCAAAGCCCTTGCTCTTTTCATCACAAAATGCTACCTTTCTAAATCAGTAGTCTCAATCTTGGCTACACGTTGGAATCATCTAGGGAGCCAGGAAAAGTACTGATGCCTAGGTGCCATGTCCTAAAATTCTGATTTAAGTGGTCTTGGCTACAGCCTGGGCATCAGAATTTTTTAAAGCTCCTTAGATGATTCTAACGTGAAGCTAAGGTTAAGAATCATTGCTCTAAATACACTCTTTTGAGATAAAAATATAGAAGCTCTTATTGGCTAGACAAGAGCTTTAACAATTTAAATAAGAAACACACCATTTTAGCACAGTGTTTTAGGATGAATTCAGATCATCTGTATGAAATTAAACACTTTTAAATATCAGGGCTTTATAAATGCAAGGGGTAGGTGGTGCAATCAAGAAGGTTCTTTAATGTTAAAAAGGCAATACCTCAACCAAAAGGTAGAGATATAGTCAGGTAAATAGCACCAGCATTAACAAATTATAATTAATTTATATGACTTCCTGTAGAAATATATATGTGGTAATTAGGCACAAGAATGGCTTTTTGCTATTTAAAAATTTTACAAATGTCTTAAGCAATGTATTTGTAAGATTTGAAAAGTTTCACCTAAATTCTTCGGTCCCTCCATCCATACTTGAGTCTGATGTACAAGTTCCCTGCAGACCTATTCACAGTTACTCCCTTTTATCCAATGAAGCATGTTTGGATCATATATGAAGTAACTGCATACTAGTAAATTTATTGTTCAACTTACAAAAAAGCCACATGAAGGAGGGAAATTCTGAGACCTGTAATGTGGTCACTGCTAACTCAGCCAAAACTAACTTTTTGATATCTTTATGTTCTTAACATCTGCATTTTGCTCAGTCTCCAGAGTAGTAGTAGAGGTAATATAGGAGACAGATGAGAAAAAAATGGAGGAAAAACAGCCCTCCAAAAACAGTATAATAAATTATTATAATGTATCTTCATTAATCATGCTCAGCAATGGCTTCAATTATTTATTTTTCAGTGGAGGTTTAAGGGTGAGTGAGTGAGGCTTTCTTTCAAGCTGCTTTATGATTCTTTGAAAATCTGAGATGGAAAAAATTCTCAGGCCTTAGCACTGGGATCCTAATTTAAGTCTCATTCCTATTGAAGCCAACAAGAAGGAACAGCACAGAGGTATCCCACACCTTGGAACCTATAAATCTATTTTATTTATTTATTTAAAAAAATTTTTTTTTTAACATTTATTTATTTTTTGAGAGAGAGAGAGACAGAGCATGAACGGGGGAGGGTCAGAGAGAGAGGGAGACACAGAATCTGAAACAGGCTCCAGGCTCTGAGCAGTCAGCACAGAGCCTGACGCGGGGCTCAAACTCACGGACCGTGAGATCATGACCTGAGCCGAAGTCGGCCACTTAACCGACTAAGCCACCCAGGCGCCCCCCTATAAATCTATTTTAATTGATACAAGGAATCAGGTCATTGTCTTCCCTAAACTAACTTGGCCTTATTTTTTCTCACATTTTAGAAATGATATTTATTCTAAGGAACACAAATAGCTTGAAGAAACTCTTTCATAAAATTATGCTTCAGCAGTAGAAATATTCTCTTCCTGAACCATCTACACCAGAGTCACTACACAGTAGAGTGAAGCTGCTTATTCCAGGATCAGTTCAAATTATCTCTTCAGTTTTCATGGTTTTGCACCAGACTTCAACTTCTAGTCACAACATGACTTGAATAGTTTGAAAATAAGCCCTCTCTCTCATGCCAGCTGAGGGTGGCCTTTTCTGGAAGCCCACAAAAGATGGAATGTCTGAGATCCTAAAGGTTTCTCTTTGGAGTTTTAAGACAGTCCACACTTCCTCAAAGATGGTGCCAAATTCACCAAACTTTTCATAAGTCTGACCCAAATTGTAGACTGTGCACAGGGCCAATCACCAAGCCAAACTCATCTGGTTCAAATGTATAATTTCATTTGTAAAACTGGCTGCATCCGGCGAAAGGAACAGTAGAGCTGGGCACTGATATACAGCATGTGAGACCAAAGCTGGAGATACACACAGGTCTAGCAGGAAAGGAGCGTGAAATGGGCCTAGAGCTCCAGAATGGAGGAAAGTCAAGCAGTGACTGGTAAAGATAATACACATTTCCATAAAACTTTGCTTATTTTCTTCAACTTTAAGAAAGCTGAACAGATAAATAATAACTGATGCTATCATCACCCCAAATACTTTACAACTGTTATAAACTGGAGTTCTGCTTCAAATGGCTGAGACCAAAAAAAGAAGATATAGCCAAGAGTCTAGAAACATTGCCTTGGAAATGGTATGGGTGTATTCTAGGCAGAGGTAACATGCAAAAGGGACCTGGTGGTTTGGGATAAAAGGTTAAAAAGTTGAAAACAGTGAGAACCTGGAGTTCTATTTCATCACATCTGGTGACCACATGTTCCCTTATTTTGGGATACAGAAGCAACAACTTTTCTCTATTTAATGAATATCTTCAGTGTTTCCAAAATTCACATTCCTCACGACAACATCCACAAAAGAAAAGGAGAACCCCTGTACCTTGAAACATGCCATTGCTCAGGTTAACTCTTCTTCCTCCTCT